CAACCAAATGCAGCGTTTCTTGCTTTCTGCACAATGAAATCGCAACTTAAATTCATCAAGAGCGATCGAGTAAATAATGTTAAGAAAACAACGGTTGACACTTCAAATTTAGGGGATAACAAAGCGTTATGAATAACCACAAGAAAACAGTATCCAAATTCCAAACGATAAAGTAAAATCCTCAAACATCATCAGTCTAAAACCAGCAAGACCAAGAAAAAATAATAAGACAACCTCGGAGACCTAATAAAACCAAACATTAAGCATCTCCACCGAGGAATCCGAAGAATAAATAAAGCTGGATGCCAAAATTAATCGAAAACATAACAGAAGCTTAGGTTAAAGAGAGGAAATGAGAGAGAGATTAGTACCTGTTGCCTATTACCTTGAGGCAAAATCAAAGAATCAACGAATACAACAAAAATCAAATCAAGTCCAAAAAGTTCGCTCAAAAGCAGCCGATAGAAGAGTATCGTAGAGTGACAGTACGAGATCGACGGCGGAGAGACAAATCGGTGATCGGCGCCGCCGAAATGCCTCGGCAGACCGTTGGAGAAGCAGCGGAAGAGATAAAGATGGAGAGACGAAGGCGAGAGAGCGAGTGAGTCAAGTGGGGCGTTTGAAATCCATACGCCAAATGAGGATTCGCTTTGTGAAGTTCATTTCGCTAATTAAACCCGTTTTCGAGTTCCATAAAAGTCGTATTATAATAGAAGGAAGCGCGCGGGCGTTGGAATCTGTGTTCAGAAGGACGATAATGCTATAAACATCAAGCCTTAATCACCGTCCAATTCGAATCAAACGGCTCTCTTATTGCTGCGTTTCGTATCACGGAGCGTATGGACTATTTTCTTTTCTTTTTTTAATTTCCCTCTCTACTTTATTACGTGGACAACGATTTGAATGACAGCCATCCTCTCACCCGCAGGGGATGTATCAGCGTCAACCTCACACAAACTTACCGTTTAGCCGCCGTATTCATAATTTTATTAAATTGGTATTTTATTGCGTAAAATGGTAAATAAAGTTACAGAACCTTTCCATTTTCCACTGCGGAACTGTTTTCACCGACACTGTGCATGTGACCGACAAGCGTCACTGTAGGGTGAGCGAATCATTGCTTGGGCAAAATGAAGGATCAGCTAGCGAATTGAATTATTGAGTGTTAAAGTATATGCGCGGATGATATGGATAACGCGAGGCGAGCCAGAATGTTTTAATAATATCTCTCAACGCCCCCATAGAATATCGATATTAAAAAACGCATCCAAATAAAATACAACTTCCGACCCCTCTTGTTTCAAAAAATTAACATTTAGGGACCCAGGAAAAAGACAATATTTTCTTGACTTAGTAAAAAAATTGCATGTCCCATGACTTGAAACAAGAAAAAGAATCTAACCATCTTCGCCAGATCCGATGCTTGGAAGAGGGCACGTGACAAGGAGGCTGCATTGGCTTGGACCATATTTTTCTTTTTATTTTCTACGTAGGATTTGGCAGGGCCCTGGGTCTGTGGAAATTGGGCCACATGACATGACCTCAGCCTTTGCTCTCTTTTTCATTATCTGCCTTTAACCAGCGCCTTCACTGTTTCCTTTATTCTTCCCAAGCTCTATTAATGGGCCTGATCCAATAATGAGACTAAACTCTGGGCCCGATGGAATTATAAGAAGGAAAACTCTGTAAACTTGGATTGAAAGCTTTCGTTTAAGAAAAAGCCGCATTTACCTTTTGATTTGTGTGTTTGAGTAATCCATAAGAAAGTTAAAGGGAAGGTGGTGTAATTGGAAAAAGGAAAAAGAGGGAAGTGGGGACCTCCCCTTGAAGTCGAGAGAAGAGAGAGAGACACGTGAAGGTGGGGAGGGCTCCATAAGCCTTGGATTTTACGTTTTGTGAAGCTTCTCTTCTCGAACATGTGCCTCTAATTATACATGTTGGTTGCTGCTTCGTCACTTTCATCTTCTCAGTCGAGACACCCACCCACACCCACGTTTTGGGCTTATAAAACTTGGGCCGTGAGATTCCTAACTGGGCTTTTGGGCTGAATGCGCTGAGCAAGGACGGCCCAAAGCAGCATTTTTTGTGATAGAGGAGCGTTCCAACTGTCAGGCAGTTGATGAGTGGTGGGGCTGTAGCAGAGCAGAGGCAGCCAATAACGGATATCCAAATCCTGGAAAGTGGAAACCACAGCCTCGAGTGTTTGTTTAGGAATTAGGAATTAGGACCTCTCTTATTCGGAGGTCTCAGAAGCGAAGCAATCGACTGCAGGGGATCCAGAAATGACAACAGCACCTTCGCTTTCTCGCCTCCACTCTCCGTTTCTGTATTCTCCTCTCAAACCCACTTCAGCTGCCTCTCTATCACTCACATTTTCCAGAAATCAACGGTCTCCAGCATCATATCCACGCATCAGAGCTATAGATCTTGACCAAAACACGGTTCCTTCTTCATTTCTCCCCCAATTTTTCCACCACTTGATTGAAAAGGAAGTAGAAATGAGGATGGAAGTAATATTTGTTTCAGGTGGTGGCACTTTCAGTGGGGCTGGTGAGTGTTGCAGTTGGAATAGGCATTCCCGTCTTCTATGAAACCCAAATTGATAATGCTGTAAGAACTGTTCCTCTGTTCTTAATTACTTGCCCAATAATGTGGGGTTTCTTTAATTTTCAACCTCTAATCCATGTTTTTGTATCGTAGGCGAAGCGTGAGAATACCCAGCCTTGCTTTCCCTGCAGTGGTTCGGGAGCACGTAAGTTAATTTCACTGCTTCTGAGTTCTTACTCCTGCCATGAACTGATTTTAGGAGAAGGTTGCTGTCATTATAAATCATAGCCCAGGGAATTCCCCTGCGTGTTTCTCTTGTTCTTGTCCTTCTCCAATAATATATCCTTGGTCCTGCACCCAAAGATAGTTTTCATATAGTCTGCCTTTTAGATAAGATTGTATAGCTTAAAATTGTGAAGTTGAATCACAATCGATATATGGGTTTATTTATATCAAACACAAACTATAATCCATTACTCACTACACAATTCAATCACGGCTACACAAATTCAAGAGCTTCAGGCTCTTCAACTCCACCAAAACGACATAGATTTTAAACCTCCAAACGTTGAGTTAATTAGATATGCAATGTCGTTGTCAAGGAAACAACTGTGTCAAGGTCGAAATCCATATTCATATTTAGAAATAAGTGGATGGTCAGAGGGTTGTATTGTGAACTTACAAAGTCGGTCTGAAAATGAATAATTCGTCCACAGAGAAGTGCAGATTTTGTATGGGAACTGGCAATGTGACCGTAGAACTCGGTGGAGATGAAAAGGAAGTTTCCCGTTGTATTAACTGTGAAGGTGTTGGCACATTGACTTGCACTACATGTCAGGGCTCTGGAATTCAACCTCGATATCTAGATCGCAGGTATGGTTTTGCATCTTGCCGCATTTTTCTTCCTGTGATACACAGAACCCACCTGAAATTCTAGATGTAGAGACTGCCATAGAAGTTGACTTAGTGTTTGCATTTCTCTATGAACAGAGAATTTAAAGATGATGATTGAAGTTCAGCAGAACTAGAAGCAGCAACATCCACTGATTTTGCTTTCAATTTGATGCCTTGAAACTTGTTAGTTACATTGAATCGAACTTGGTATTCCACCAAGGACTTACTTTTTGGTAACTTTTTCATGCATTCTTCTAATGTATATTTGTGGTTAATAATACAAATAACACTGTAAGAGGAGAGAAGAATTGACTGTACTGCCATGTCTATGACTTCACTCTATTGACCGTCACTGCTGATAATCATTAGCTAGTAATGGCAGCAAGTGCAGGTGGATCTGATCTCAGGACACATGCAGAAGACAACTGATTACCAAATTATCTATTATTGTAAATCTTTCTATCATATCAGCCGTTTGGAGCTAGGAGAATCATTGAGAAAAAACCATATTAATCATTTGCGAACTCTGAGAATTCGGATCCAAGCCAAACAGACAGTGGGGCAGAAATATCACAGGCAAGAAGAAGACAATTCTTGTGATAAGCCTACGAAAAGATCAGAAACGTTAATTATAAAGACATTTCGCAGAAGAAAATTGAAGCTTCTGCATTCTGGGCATCCAAAAGAACAATGAATATAGAGGAATACAAAGTTTTCCGGCACCAATGCTGGTGGCAGATTCATGAAAAATCCTAATAGGTGATTCTGCGAATATTGTACACAGTTGCTCATATATGGGACAGTCCTGGACTTTGATTATCTCAGGCCGATGCTGGGCCTATGGAGAGAATCTATCCAAAAATTAAGGTAAACCGATAAGGGAAAACAAGGTAAACTTACAAAAGAAAGCAATCTACCCCATGTTCTTCCGACATATCAGACTATCGGTCCAAAGCCAATGGAAATCAGATTGCCTCGTTCATGAGAAGGCTACTACTTTTATATCATTAGATATATGTGAGAAAATAGTTTTGCAGCCACATTAGATAATATTTCAGAATTTAGTGATGTTGCTCATGTTTCTGCAGTCACATCGACCTTACAGGATTTTGCAAAATAAAAATATCAATAAAACAAGATGGAATGGCATGCGATGACCAGTCTAGTCTATAAATAATTCAAGTAATGTATATCGCCAAAGTATAATACTTTGAGATGAAACCAGAAGGTTACAAGAGGATTTTAAAAAATAAACATATAATTCATATCTACCTTTCCTGAATCAGCAGCAATGTACATGAAAATCAATATGCCCCATAGTTTGTCCTGAAAAATAATTATCCTTGAATATCAAATTATTACCAAGGGAGCAATCTTGTTGATGTAATCGAGCCAACTGCAAGTAGGCCAATACAACAGACTATGAAGTACAAAACCAACATTTTTAAACTTAAAAATTTCAGAATAATCTAGGATCCACTACGAACACTCATTTAATAGTGCCGCAACTGATTTAAAACAGTAGAACTTAGATTACTTGACATCTTAAACAGCACACCAGGAAAGCTCCATTAACGAGCAAATCTGATAATTACCTATTTACCTCCGATAAAATCAATAGGCTGAAGATAAAAAAGACCTTTAACTGCTATCCTTACCATAAACCAAGTCATTTTGTCTCTCTAACGAATATACAAGACCAGGTAATATTTATGGGTGGCACATGCTTAGGATACCAAAACTAATCAAACACCGAGTATTTATAGACTCCAGAGCCATCTTTGATCTAGTTCATGTTCCTCAATGCTCATGACTGAAGAATATTTATCTAAATGAAATACTAAGTCAATGTAGAACCAAACAGAACCGACTACAAAATTACACTGCTGTAAGGGAAGAAAAAAAGAGCAAAAATTTATATTGGTTAAATCACCGTGGAATAAATGTTTTCTCCAAGCATTATTGAAGCCTGCTGAGGATATGAATAAGAAACAATCAAAACAGCCTATAAGGCTTAACCAGAGACAAACTTGGCATAAGCAATGCATAATCGTGCATTTTGACATAAAATACCATGTTTTTAACTTTCTGCAAAATCAAGGCGACTTAGATTTATCAAAGACAACAGATCAGCAACACAATGTTGCCAACTTGAAATTCAGGGGACAGCAATGTATTAAAAGCGTCTGCCTAACAATCACGAGAAAACAGTATCCAGAGTCCAAGCAATAAAGTACAATCTTCAAACATTATCAGTTTGAGGCTAGCAAGACCATGAAACAAGCAGAAAATAACCGCGGATAACTAATAAAACGATAAGAAAAAACAAAATGAGACAACAAATGAGGTCGATCTCGTTGCCACAAATAAAGGAAAACACGTTAGAAAGAATGTTATGTTGAAGCGAGATTAATGCCTATTCAATTTTATCTTGAAACGAAAACAAATAATCGCCAATAACAAGAAAAACATAAGTCAGTCGCTGAGGAGCAGCCGTCCAATTGGTAACAAATGGCTCTATTGCTCGGCGTTTCCAGAATCACGAATCCTCTGATATACGGGGAGAAAAAGAAGAGCAGAACATCTAAATCGGTATAATCACCACGGAGTAGATCAAAAAAGCCCCTGAAAACACTCCAATTAGAAGCCTCGATAACGTGACACAATGAAGATGAAAAATTAAAGCATAACTCAAATTGCTTGTTCGTCGCTTGCCATTAAGCAGCCGACGAAATCAACGAATGCAAGCGACGAACAAGCAACCGATTGCAGACATAAAAGAACTTCAGTATCAAACGATTTAACTTGCCTGGACRAAA